CGATCTCGAATCGAGGAAAGAATTATTTTTAAATATCCTTCTATTTTTATCTGGACATATAATTAAGATAAAATAATTAACGAGCTACCTCGATTATTAAAATTATCAATAAACCTATTTACGAATCATAATTGAACGTACAATTGGATATTTTGTGGAAACAAGAAACGTTGACATCTTTATTATTTTATATTTTTTTGTAAAAGTCTTTCTCCATTTTTAATGATATTTATAATGCAATTAAATGGCTCGTATGCGTAACATGTTGCAAAATACATCGTAACTGTTAATTGCTAAAGATTATTTAAAGGTCTTACCACCTTTGCGCAAACACGGTGAAATGTATTTACACGAATAAATCAACGGGGAAGTAGAATAGATCCGCGTGCTTGTTTAAATGGTTGTGCAAGTAGAACAGAACCGCGCCTGGTCAGACGCGGTCAGTCCAGGAGAATAGACTCGTGTTTTCTCTGTCGGTGGTTCGAGTTTAAACTTTCGGATAAATTACACGCATAAATTATCTTGCAATTATTATTATTTTTTTTTTTCTATTATTATTCTGTATTATTTATAAAATAATATTTCTAATTCTTGACAATTTTTTTATTCAATCTTGTGTATTTTCAACAAGTGCAATCTTTTTTTATCAAAATGTTAAGAGCAAGAGTTTATGCGAAATATAATATATTATTATTGAATTATATTCAAAACTATTTCATTCGTGTTGAAATTTTTGGGAAAATTCTTTTTTTTCCAAAATAAAATTCAGAGAGGTATATCTGGATACTATAAATTTACACAGCACGTATCGATAATTAAATTAATATAAATTAAATTCAGATATATACGTACGTGTAATGAGATTCAACTCTCTTTTTGAAGTTAATTGCAAAATTCCACTGTATCTGTTTGCTTTATCGTCGCTACGTGCCTTTTGAACACTTTCGCATCTAAAGACGAGATATCTTGCCTTGTAGTTCACGTCCCAGTAGACGAGATATCTCCCGTGTTCTTTTCATTAAAACGCGATTCGAATAAAAATCAATTCATATATATATATATTACCCATAGATGAGGAGTTATTGGATTGGAAATTAAAAACGTAACTATACCAATTTCCCTATTGAACGAAAGAAGTCTTCTCATTAATTCGTAATAAAAAATTCGTAATAAATTTTTATTACAACGAAAAATATGTAACGTCGAATTTGATAATAGCAACAACAACGATAACCTCGAATAAGAAACAATTGTACACGCAATTAATTATAGAACAGCTATTATTACTTCGTATATATATATCGATAAATGGCATACACAATGCCGCAATGTTGCATTAAACCGCCTCGAATAACAAACGTTTTATGTTTATATGTAAACAGTTATCTCTGTTCAAACTGTTTCCCCGGAATAATATTTGCATTGCACAGTCGTAGTTATCATTATTATTATCCCTTTTTACCTCTATCCTTTCGAAACCCCCTTCAATTTGACTTTCGTTCAGGAAAAATTTTTCGAAAAAAGGATTTTTCGCGGACGAGTCAAAAATTCGTTTCGAAAGAGTAACAACAGCGACGATTACGTTCTTCGACATTTTTTCCGTGAAATGTGAAATCACGATTACAAACATCACGCGAAAAAAGAAAGAAAGAAAAACGAAAAAGCGTGGGGGGGAAAAAAAACATTCGGTTCCAGGAAATTTCCCCTAGCTAACCAATTCCATGATACCGGAAACACACATATACACACACGCGTGCCAGAAATATTAAAAAACATTTCGAGGAGACAAAGGCGCAAAGGGGGCAGGTTGGGTGGAAAAATCGAAACGATTGTGACTCGCTGATCGGAGGAACAATCCGAGGTATATCGAGTAATTCTCCTCGGGAAATCGGTAACGCGATACGGATGAATAGCCGGTGGACCCGCTGCTCGTTCGCCGGGGGCGCAACAACGGGGCCGCTGAATTCGTTATATTTCCTTTCAAAGCAGACCGTAAAAACAGCCGAGCATCTGGGAGAAGCGGAGCGAGACGCGCGGAGGAATCGGCCTTTTATCGTGGACCATGAAAATTCGCATGAAAATCCATCGGTCCACGTTTGTTGGATTTTTCTCGCGCGAGTCGCTGCTTTTCCTTTCTCTCTCTCTCTCTCTTCTTTTTTTCTGCTGTCTTAGATTAGATTGTTGAAAATGTGATTGGATTTTGTCGTCGCGGTATGGCGTATGGTGGGGAGGAGGTATTTCTTCCTTTTATCATCATATTATTCGTGGATTATCAAAATGTGTTCACCTAGCTTGGTTATTATATAATCGGATTTTTCTTCTCGAGACTGTTGTAAGAGAGATATATTTATCTTTCGCGCTTTCCAAATAAATTTCACGTTACAATTAAACGTTATAAATCCCACGATCAAAAATAATCGATCCAGGACGAGAGTCTCGACCAGAATAGACACGAACAGCTCGAGAGGATTCCCATGACCGAGACACTGTCCTTTCCATCTCGAGAGAATGGCGTTTCTCACGAGTCGATTGCGCAACCCGGCCGATCGTGAATCGCAGGAGAAACCGCGGATCGATGGTGTATTCAGTCGCGAGAGGAGGACAGGTCATCGCGGCGCAGAAGCGACGGCTAGAAGCGAATTCGACGAAGAGTGGACCGAAAGAAAGAGAGAGGAAAAAATTGACGCCTCTTTTCTCCTCCTCCCCTTCCTTTATTTTATTTATTTATCTCTTTCTTCTTTTTATACCTTCTCGATCTCCTCTCTCTCCTTTTTTTTTCCATCGATACCACGTACAAGCTGATAATGAACGACCCTATTGAAAACGTTCTTGCTCCACTTGAACCGAGTCGCATCGTATCGACCATGCTGCGAAAGAAGCGCCCTTGATTTCGTCGCGATGAAATACCTATCTCTATATATATATATCCCAATAGACGACGATTTCTCCATTTCCTCTTTTCTTCTTCCTTCCTTCCTTTTTTTTTAAATTAAACTCCGTTATTACGCGAATAATTATTACGTAACGTTCACTTGCCACGAAATATACACGAAGAGGGGAGGGAGAGGGAAGAGTGGATACGGATGTAGGAAGGTTCTCCCGTCGAGATTAAACCTCTGAATGGGGGTTTAAGGGTAGTTTCTCCCTTGGTGATATTTCACCCCGAAACGTGGCGGCTCGAGTTTGTTTAGGTTGGATGCGGTTTGATGATGCCGATGGTGTGTAAGGCGCGCTCTGTTTGTCGCGTTTTGGAAGTTGGAAGGTTCGGCTGGTCCCGGCTCTAGTAGAATGTTCTCCGCAACTATAAGGAGAATTATAAGTATGGGGGTTGAACCGGTTGATGGAAAGTTTTCTAATTACGGATACGGATTAATTTTGTTCGACAGGTAGGAGATAAGAGGGATAAAAGGAAGGAAGGAAGGATTTTGTGGGAACGGAGAGGGAGAGGAAATTGCAAATCGAATTTGAATATTATAAAAAGAATAATTAGGTAATTATACTTGTACAATTGTAATCCTTTAACTAAAAGTTGATCTTATATCTCTTATCGATCGCTATCAACTTTGATATTACATCTATTTTCTCGAATCGATCGATTTTTAGTTGAATCTTGCGCGCAAAAATAAGAGAATTATTATCCCAATTATCGCGGGAAATCGCGGAAAAACGGTGCAATGATCGGGTCATTTTCCACCTGGTCGAACATTCGCTGCAAAAGAAAATGAAAAAAAGAAATATATACACAAGAATTCCCGTAAAAACGAAGTATCGCGTGTCTCGTCTCGCCGAATCCAGTGGACAAGTTTATCGAACGATTCCGAATCGGTTGACAAGATCGACGTTAAAAAGCAGCGGCGATGGACCGAATTCGTTCCAGTTTTTGTCATCCGGCCAACGAAACTAGCCAACGAATAATAATGGTGCTCGATTTGATAAAACGCACCGCAACAATCGTTGAAAATCCGCACACTGTTGTAGAAATATTATACAAATTGGCAAGTGGAATATTCTTTTTTCTTTGTTTTTTTTTTGATTTTTGTTCTTCCCTCTCCCGTATGCTGAAGCATTGTTACTGTTGGAGGAGAAAAAATAAGGGCCGGATTGTGCGCGTGTTATCTTTAATCCGACGCTCTCTATTATATGTTGAATTAAAAAAAGGCGAGCTTTTTTTTTTTTTCCACGTGCGAGTTTCTGTCGCGCACGTTTGTCGCTCCAAATGAAAAGAAACCAATGCTGGAATTGAAAACTATAAAGTGATACAAACCTGCGATTTTTCTTCTGTTTACTTCTTTTTCGATCATTTCACGATACGAATATTGAAATATTTTAAAACCATTGCGAAAATTTTATAAAAAAAAAAGGAAAGATTACAACGCGATTAATTTTAAAATTATGAAACGAATATTTACTGGATAATACTCGAGTTTTTTGATCGCTACTTTCGTGATCATAATCAAACTACAGTCTATGACATGTTTGGGTAAATATTACAGTGTGTATATCGAACCACGATTAACCCTTGTCCTTTCCTGCCACAACCTGCAAGGCTATTAATATTCCCCCCCCTCCGTTGAAAAGATGCGTCCACGTCATCACTCTCGAAACCGTGAATAATTTCTCGTGGCATGATATTCTCCTCATGGAGAATCCCCCGAACAATGCCCTCTATTTTTCCTCGTTAATACGCTAATCTTCACTTCTTTCTGCAATCCCGAGTTATTACACCGCACAATCTTCTCTTTCACTTGAAATTCTCGATTTTTCCATGGATTTTCCAATCTTCGAAAATAAATCATCCCCTCACGAGAGGATTCAAAGAGAAGATACGAAGATGGTAAAAAAGGAAGGAGAATTAGATGATATTATTATTTACAATTTCTTAAATTTAAAAATCTTTCACGAATTTTCCAATTTTCGAAAGATATATATATATATTATTTTTTTTTTTTTGTACAAGGCGAGGAGGAAACAGGTTTGATAAAAGAAATCGAGTAAAAAGTTTCACAAAAAAAAAACGTGTTTTACGCTCTTCCAAAAATTTTTTCACATTTTTTCGCATCTTTGGACGACAATCGTTCAAAAGGAGAGCGTTTGGAAAAAGGAGTGGGAAGAAAAATAACCGGAGTTTCATCGACGAAAATATTCATCGTCGAAAATTTTTGGCAACGAAATGGTTCCAAATCGGAGACGTTCCTTTGCCTGTTGGAAAACGAAAACCGAGCACCGATCGCGCGAATTTTTCCGCTCCGTTTCCATTTTCAAAGGCTGGTTCGAGTCGCGCGGTGCCGAATTTCGAAAAAATAGTCTTTGAAAGGTTTAATTTTTATAAAACGATATATCCGCCTCGCAATGGATCCACTTCAGAATCTAATTTCTGAATAGTGGATGGAAAGAAGGGGACGCGTTGGCCGATTTCACTGAAAAAGAAAAGGAATTTTGGCCCAAGTTTACACGGGGAAATCGATCGACTGGTGGTGTTTCTTGCTATCGAATTGCAACTATGTCAAAGTGAAACAAGTTTCGAGATGTTGCTTTGTGCGTGGATAGTTTTGCAAGTGTGAAACAAAATTTATCGTTTCCTCTTTGTGATCCATTTGAAGAATTTCGAACGATTTTTATTCGTATTTCGTGAGTATTTATATGTAAATATATCTTTCTCGTGATTTACAAAAATAATATGGAAATATGGAAACCTTTGATAAGAGAGGTAGAAAATTAGTTGCATAAATAAAATCGGTTGTATACAATAATTTAATATTATAAGCTAATTGCAACGATAATATTATCGCGTGTAATATATATTTTTATCGTCAAATCGCCGAGAGAAACGGAAGAATATTAAATCCGACACGAAAAATTATTGACAGATTTCTCGAATAAAATTTAATGTCGAATATGGAAACGATGCATTATAATTAATACACGATTATCGCGTGATCACTATGAATATAATATATCGTGCGTGTAATTAAAGTATCGATTATACAATTATCCATCCTATCCATCCACCATGATAATTGTTAACGCGAGCAGAATTTCGCGAGAGGCGGAAGTTTCGCGGTGACAGGTGAAACAATTGCACCATTTCTTCTCCCCCTTATGATACTCGAAAATAATAGTATCCTGGACGCTTCAGAGAACGTTCCAAGACGACGTTTCCACTTGAAACACTTAGCCAGGGTATACTTGTAGCCGGCTTTTAATGATGCTGTAAGGAGGTCAGTGGACCATGCTCATTGAATGAAGTACGTGGTCACGTGCGGTGACAACGCGTATTTTCCTTTTTTTTTTTTTTTTTTTTTTTTGTCAAAAGAACCAACGTTTTTATCAGGTTGAAACTCGTTGACATAATGCTACTTAATTAACATTCGTCCTTTTTAATTCGATGATACACAGTTGGGAGATGAAATGAGAGATTTTAAAGAGGAAGAAGAGGTAAGGTGCATAGCAGGTTCGTTTCATTTATCTTGCACAGTTTTTTGACGAGTTCAAAGACTCCGAGAGACGATTAATTAAGTAAATTAAATATTTAATTCTTATGTCAATAACGAGTGCCCTTTTTCCCTTGAGAGAAAATTTAAAAGTCTTGTCTTTTTATCGAAAAACTTTTCAAATTCAAGTCGAATCGAATGATTGATCAAAATAATTTGATGCGTATTGATTGAATAAATAAGCTCGATTTAGCTCGAGCAAAAGATTTAGGAGAACAATAAAATTTTAAATCTTTAGCATATTTATTAGTGAGATAGTTATAAGTAAAATAAATTTTTTCCAAAAATGAACTTACCTATCGTATAATTTACCTTAAAACTCGATAAAATCTTATAAAAAGTACAAAAAATTTGAACCGTTTTAACTCTGCAGATAGTTACTTCCGGTTAATGAATGAACGATAATTAAAAGCACGGAAGCTTGCCCTTTAAAACGCTTTTCCATTCATCCCGACTTCCTCTTCCCGAGATATGATCGTGTAAAAAAAAAAAAAGCTAATCATTCATCTTTAATCCGCGTAAATCCTATCGAAATTAGAAAAAATTTGAACCGTTATAACTCCGAAGATAATGACTTCCGGTCAATGGATGAAAGCTCGTTAGAAGCTCCGATCCTTGCCCTTTAAAACGCATTTTTACTCGTCCCGATACGACTTCCGGTTCCCGAGATATTATCCTCTAAAGAAAAAGTAATTTTAAATCATTTATCTTTAATCCGATTAAATTCTATCGAAATTAGAAAAAATTTGAACCGCTATAACTCCGAAGATAATGACTTCCGGTCAATGGATGAAAGCTCGTTAGAAGCGGGGAACCTTCCCCTTTAAAACGCTTTTTCGTTCATCCCGATACGACTTCCGGTTCCCGAGATATCGTCGCGCAAAGAAAAAGTTAATTTTTGATCGTTTACTATCTTTATCCTTGTCGCTTATTCGCTTATCTCTCGCTCGCACCTCGTCTCGCTGACCTGTCCCAAACTCGAGACAAGCGACAGACGCGATTCCTGGAAGAACGTAGTACGCATTTCCAGGAAAAAAATGTGGGTCAGTTATTCGCGAGCCCATTCATAAACTCGGCAACTGTCTCAAGCGCTATTGACACTTTGAACGCTTATATCTCGGGAACCGATCGAGATATCGGGATAATTCAAAAAGAGGCTTCAATGGTACGGTTTCCTCTACATTCTGAATGGATTTTAACGACAAAATTTTTAATTTCTCCTCGTGTATTTTATACGTAATCTCGACGAAGTTTCTTTCGTAATTTAAAATACACGAGGATCTAAACGATTTAAACCTCTTCCCTTTCCCCCTTCTTCTCTAATCAGAAATTCAACGTCGCAGCTGCGAGGATTTACGAATGCGGCAAAATTCACGGGAATAAAAGTGGCGTTTGAATCGGTGGTGAACAAAGCGTAGAGGTGGGATCTCGAAAATAAGACGGTTGCTTTTTCCCGGGGCGCATCTGAATTCAGGCGGTCGGAGGGTTGAAATTCAGAATGGCGTGGCATGTGTCACACGTGTTAGCCCCGTGGCCCGCGGAAAATTCTTGATGCTCGACGAGGCGAGAATAAAGTAGACGGGTTCTCTGTCTTTGAATTTCTTCCGGGCCGCTTGTAACGCGTCCTGCGGGAAAGCCTCTGCTACGTGTCGAATAAATTAGAACTTTTCGTCCTCGCAACGGCCAAGCTGTTCCCTTTTTTTTTTTTTCTTCTCTCTCCTTTCTTTTCTTTTTTCTAGAGCAATTTCTTAGGCTTACAGACACCATTCGCGTACTCATGTCGTCTCTCTTTCACTCTTTCGCTTTTAAAAGAAACGCGCTAGAGAAAATGAGAATTGATACTTTCTTTTATCTTCTCCTCGTTCTTATATATCTTTTCTTGTATGTTTTTTTCTTCTTCTCTTTTTTTTCTTTTTTATCTTTTTCCATTTCTCTTCTCTTTTCCATTGCACTCGTAACATCCAGTCCGCTAGCCTCGAAGCTACGTTTCTCTATAATTACTCTGTCAATCTTTCTCATCCGTATAGCTTTACGTCTTTTTCCTACGTGTTCTTTCTCTCTCTTTCTCTCTCCGTGCTTTCCCTGTCTCTTTTGTCTCTGTTTTATTTATGATGCTCGACGTTTCTGCTTTCGAGGAATCGTTGAATTGCACAACTATCACGATACGAGGAAAAATAAAATGTCGATTTTGAGAAAGAATTTCTATTTCGTCGCGTCGATTAACAAAACATTTTAATTTCATCGATTTCTGTAAAAATGACGTTATGTAAGTATTAATAAATCCTCTCTAATTCTTCATTCGATTCAATCTTCCCGTAACGCGATTCTCCAATTCTCAAAGCCACCTCCTATGCGTTTATGACATGGCAGCAAATCTCAACAGCACCCTTTTGGAAAATCGCCACTGCTTGTATAACGGACTGCGCGAACGATTCACGTTAAAACGGCAGAAACTAAAAACTCGGCCGTATTCAGCGCGATTTTTCAGAAGCGGAAGTACGACGACGCAGAGATGAAGGGGATCTGATATAAATGTAACGCGACAGCCAACTTCTACATATCGCGGCAGGGGGTTGAAAGGGACGACAGCGTGGCTCTGCTGGCCTTTTTCCCTTTTTTTCTTCTTCCTCCTCCTCCTCTTCTTTTTCTCTTTTTTCCCCTCCGCGAAACGGAATTCGTGCAATTTTCTTGCGTCCCGGGGATCCGCAGCGTCCGCGTTTTCGAATTGAAAACAGTCGCGAAACCTTCTTACGCGCGTCCACTCTCTTTCGACAATTGTGGCCCGGCCACGGTGGTTCGTGGATGGACAAAAAGAAATGGACGAAAGGAGAGGATATAAATTAGGAACATCGACGATCGGATTTGAAAATCTCTGTGGTGGAAATTGGAAGAAATCGTGGAAAATTTCGAATGGTTATTGTTGGGGGATTTTAGGAGGGGGAGGAGGGTGAAATTGAGCCGACAAGTTTGGATGGTGTGGTTCTTTGTTCGAATAAGATCAAGTTTCATTTATTTATCTCTGTTTTCTATTCAACGTTTTTAAGGTTAAAATAAGGAATTTTTATTTTTTTTTTTTTTGGAAAATTGTGAAATTGACCAATTTGGTTTTGCAAATTCTTCTTTTAACCTTTTTAAATTGTTGTTATTATTAACTGTTTGGGAAGATGGTGAAATTCCTGGGATATTAATACCTTTCGCGAGAAACACAAGCCTTCCTTTCTTCTGATGAAACGCTCAGACGCTGGAAACTCGACTTATTCCCATGAAAAGTAATTGTGTTTACCAAAACGCGTTCCTCATGTAAACGTGGCGCCAGTCTGGCGATTGTCAGTCAGAGTTAGAATCCCATGGTAACGAAGACACGAAGGTGAAAGCCTGACTGTTTAATCTCTAAAGCTTATCTTGGACGAAATTGCATTAAACACTAGGAAAATTGCGTGGAAAGGCGAGTCGTTGTCGTGCGTGTACGCGTAATTTGGAGAATAGATGGATACGGTAGAATAAATACACAATCACAACTATAAATAACTTTCAATAAATTTTTAATTTAAATCCTTACACTCTCTGGTAATATCAAATGATACACGAACGAATTGGAAAAAATTAACGAACGAATTTATTAAATGAAACAGAAGTAAAAATATATCGAACTAAGATTCCTGTGAATTAATAAATTAATAAATAATAAAAAGAGAAAAGAAAAGAGAAACGGCAATTTCGAAAAATTCTTCCCCAAGAACTACATTTTCTACGACTTTTTCACGAATGTTTGACAAGATTTAGCGAGCAGGAAAGCAGACAAGGCTGGAAGCGAGAGGTGGATTAAATCCACGCACAGTTAAGAAGCGGGATGATAAAGCGAGATTTTCCCGGGCAATTTTTAAGACCGGTTAACGATCCAAGAGTAATCGCACGGGATTGAAACCGCGACGACATTAATCACGTTGATGATACACGTTTATATTCAACCAACATTTCGAACTCTCCTCTCTCTCTCTCTCTCTCTTCTTTTTACCACCACCACCCTCTTAAAGAGTCATTTTAATCATTAAGTTGCCGCACAAGCAGGTAAGAAAAAGGTTCCGCCGAGGTGGTAAAACTGGGTTTTTGCTTATTTAAAGCGAATTTTTTCCTTCCTTCCTCCTCCTTCTTCTTTTTTTTTTATTTCTCTCTGAA